AACCACCGGTATCCCAAAGTCAATTAAAATCTTAGCAAATAAAGATGCATACCGTGTTCTAGTAAATGTTCTGCCAAGTTTCTTTCTCTACTAACCCCTCAAATACTAACAACAGTGAAAAAACCTCAGTACATGTACTGTTCTACGATAAATTTTTTATTGTTGTTTAACGTCCCTCTCAAGAATTTTTTACTCATGTGGAGACAATAAGTGAATGCTTCAAAACTTCACGGAGCATTTAGAAAATTTAAACGATCAGTTATGATCGAAATCAATTACATCAAAACATGCGACTTTTCAACACTTTTCACAAACATCCTCCATAATAAATGAAAGTCCAGCAGGCTGGTTGACATCTGGTTTTTCAATCCAGTAGAACTCGTAAATTTTCTAACTTTGTCAGTGTTCATTTGCAAAATTTTCTGTACAAATGAATACTCTAAACTTAATTAGAAAAAAATGCTCGAATTTTTGATTGGCAATATCTATAATTTTTTGGTTTGTTCGTTGAGTCTTTTAACATACAGTCGAAATTTCCGAGGGTAACGAATTGTGCCAGATATACATATTTGGAAGGGATATTTAGTCTGATTTTATATAAAAACTGAAATGTACTTTTTTTCAAGTATATATATTTGTTTAGTTCTTCAGATGACTTTAATTTTCATGTTTTTATTTACATCATTTTTTCTGTATCCTTTATATATGCAAATCAAACCTTGCATGAAATATATCAAATATTATGTCCAGATGTCACAATTTTGAATTGTTGGTAAGAAATAAACTCCATATGTGCAAGCTGTTTCCATGTCTCTCAGAATTTACATAAAGCTATTTCCGGTTACATTAGTAAACAAAAAAAATTAGTCTACAGGTAGTTCATTTGGAAAATGCACTAGTAAGTACCCTTTTTCTATATTTTCAACATTCACATGTCATAAGCAATATTTATTTGGCCGGTGAAATTATCGAGACTGAGTCTAATTATTTCTACACTAGGGAATTCGATAATTTTTCGTTAATTAATTTTTACTAATATATTTATTGTTTTGAGATTAGAAAATCGATTGTTTACCACCCCGAATTTTTAGAGGACCATCTCAAAAGTTGTCAAATTTTACTATGTGATCCTATCGGGAATTTGTTGGAAAAGCTCCAAATTATCACATTTTTTCGATAATTTTGGTATTTCTGTCCTAGATATTTCCTCTTTATCAAGTAGATGAAAATTATTGTTAATACTATAGTCACTAAAAAGTTGATCATCTAGATTGGTCGCGATCTTAATTACAAAGTTTTTTTTCGATATCCAATACCTCTAAAATTGCCATATTATGTTATAAATGCATATCGTTGCAGATAATTTTTGTGGTAAAAATAGCAATATTTAGATTACTAGTGTGTTTCTTCTGATGTTCTGTCATCAGTTTTTACTGTAATATCCATGGACGTCTACAAACATATGAGAGTCATGTGTCATTCTTCAACGCATTGCAAAATCGAAAAACAGTAACGTCATTAGACATGTTAGAGCCATTTCAGCAATTTATCCTAAATATTGTCGTAAAATCTCATTTTCAGACAGTAGGGATTACAGATAATGCTAATTTTGTATGAAAATCACAATACTAGGGAAAGGTGTACAGTCGCACTTATGACTGCATGAAATTAAAATGCTGCGCAAAGTCATGCGCACTCGAACTAGACTCGGCCTCGTTAAGAAAAAAAATAAATAAATAAAAAATGTTTATAATATTTTTATAGCAGGGCTTTTTTAGAGCATAAACATATCAAGAAAAAAGACCTAAGGAAATATTACCAATTACCTGAGTAACGTTTTACTGTGCAGCAGTACGAGTAACACTCTAAACATACACGATAAAATGAAGGATATGGAGATAACGAACAGTATTCAATATCAAAGTCCATAAAACAATACAAAATAGGAGCAGAGCAAACACGGACCTTCAAAACATCAGAGGTGGGATCAGGTGCCATGGAGGAGTGAGCATTAATAAATATTATGATAATAGATACGCAATGAGAAGAAAATTTTAAAAGATTTTTTCCATCCCAGACTCACTGATGCTGTGTATCAATTTTAAAAAAATGGAACTGTGATTCTTGAGAAGAAGTTGAAAATTAATGTGAAAAATTTACAGACAGACGGGCGACAGACAATAGTTGAGCATTCAGCCCAGGTGAGCTTTATAAGATTTAGTCCTCATCTGACTAACGAGAAGTTGTATTAATATTTTGCAACTGGGTGGCACTATGCGTCGGCGTGTCCTAGTGTATATGGCTATATGCATTTGCCCGTTTATTGAAAAGAAGAAAACACTGTGGCCTTTAACTCGACATTTAGATATATCGACGACGTATTGTCAATTAACAATATTAATTTCCTGTCTTTTCATATACTCTTATCCCGGTGAGCTTGAAATAATATATATCACAGAGTCTGAGAATCTGTTTTATATTTTGATCTTTTACTTGAGAAATATGTTAATGGTGATCTAACAACAACGCTTTATGATAAACGTGATGACTTATTTAAAAAAAACTTTTCAATCGTCAACTTCCCTTATTTATGCAGCAATATACCTTTGTCACATGCATACAGAGTTTATCTCTCTCAGTTGATTCGAGAAACTAGCATGCTCTACGTATGAACATAATATCTAAAACGAGGTAAGTTATTGAAAAATAGATTAATGAAACAAGAATATCTGCAGTCTCGTCTGAAGTCATTATTTTATAAGCTCAATTGTCGTTACAATGAGCTTGTAAGCTAATACACTTTATCATTAAATCAATTGATGACTGAGGTTTATTATAATGATGATTGTTAGGTCATTATTTACAAACTAAGTTGTCCTCGGATTTTTCTGTTTTCTTTTCCAACTAAATGACAAGGAGCACAGGGTAGGTGTGAACGGTCGGCAGGGGATGTTCACTCCTCCATGGCACCTGATCCCATCTCTGATGTTTTTGTGGGTCCGTGTTAGCTCTACACCAATTTTTTAATGTTCAATGGATACTGTACGTTATCTCGACATATTTCATGCTAACCATAAGGAGCATGTGTTACAAACATATAATTCTATGTTAGTCTCATGATTCTAGATATTGTATCCATTAGGCCAAGGTTCCTTTATCCGAGGTATTTCAGATCTTTTTAAAATAAATTTGGAAATTGCACTCTTCAAATATCTTAAATTTACATTAAGTTTTACTTCAAGGTCATTTAGGAAGGAAAGTAATCAGAAACCTGAGTATTTTAAGAAAAAATCAAAAAAAATCAATGAATTCGAAGATAATCTCGGATTTCCGGGGGTCGGTGATTGTGCTATCTTTACAGACTTATTATGGGTACTCTCTTTGTTATCTCCATGTTTCTTTAAAATCGATTTCTGTACGTTATCTTTACTCTTTTCATGTTCATAGTTCCTCTTTGTAAGATAAATGTATATTTCATTGAAACCAGTGATCGATCTTAAACAATCTGCAAGCATAACAAATCTGTGAATAGGGTGTAAACAAGGATCCCGGAAATTCCACAGGTTGGATCAGCTGTCTAGGAGGTGACAGCATCCTCTGTTGATATTTGTCCATGGAAGACTGTAGATATAGTTTCTGAGCTCAAGAATCACAGCCTGTGAGCATTGAAGTCCCGGATCTTTTTCTTACCAGCACCTACGGCGACACGGGACAATCGATTATACGGTGTCATCCACACATTACATTCGAGTCTGCGATGTAATATCTGCGACTATTCCAACTCACTGAGCCACGTAGGCGACCCCTCATTTAAATAAATAAACCAACATAAATGATGTTAACGTCTAGCTGATAGAGATGAACCACTTTTAGACATATTTTATCTTTACGCCCTTTCAATGGATGATAATTTTTACTATCATTAGAGACATTTTAAAGTTGTTGCCCTTTTTAATGTCGTTTCAAGTGGGGGTATATAAAAGTTTATAAAACATTTCTTGTTTGTAGTGGTCTCCACTTAGATGTCACAAGAGGTTCATTGTTCAATCATGAATTTTCTTATTTTGCATATAAACTTAAAAAGGTAATTCAGAAGGAAAAGCTCATCTAGATGTACTCATGCAAACTTAATGGAAACTCGCTGATAAAAATAAGAATGCCCTGAAGCATAGAAAAGGTGTGATAAGGGTATAAAGGTGTCCTGGTGTTTCATCATAGCGACATCGATCAGAACGACATCGATCAGAAATTAGTCGTCACATGCGGTATTCTATGTCTCTGGTGGCATGTCCTCAGCCTTAATTTATAGCTGCTGTAAAACCTTCGAAAACAAATATTGGAAGAAAAATAACATGCCAAGTAGGCAGGTAGAGAGGTAATGTTTTATTCATGGCGTTCGAGCTCAATTTCTTCTTTGAATCAATTTCAAATCCAACGACGAAGTCAGGTAAAAAGGAAATAATACCAATCCCATTTAATTATTTTAGCCAGAGATGATCTAACGCTATGATGAAGTTGATAACTTGTTTATTCCCAGTGGCTTTTACGACCATTGTTTGGGTGAATCATCAGAAGTGTTCCAATCTTTTCCACTGTAATATTTTCAATAACAAATGGATCTAGTTGTGTAATTAATTAGGACTAATAATTGCTTAACATTATTCATATTTGAAAAAAACAATGATTTTCTGAGTTCAGACATTGTGATTTGGTTCATAAAATCGTGATTTAGATGGTAGCCATATAAGAAAACAGATGCCATTTTTGTAAAAAAAAAAAATAAATAGATAAATAAATGAAAATAAATAAAAAATAAAAGAAAGAAAGAAAGGTCGGAACTGATAAACACCACTATTTGTTCTAGAGTAATTCAAAGTATTTCAAACAGAAATAATATAGTAATTTGACGAAACAGAACCCGGGATAAAATTACTAGCTGTCATTAAGGTTGTGCAATTTCAGTTTAACAAAAGCAGCATATGTTATACACAGCATTTTACCCTCCACTTATTCACAACACACATTTGTTTAAAAGCCTTGTGTCAATCAGATACTTGAGTTTTATAACGCTCATACATCCGCAAACGCAGCCATGCACAGCAACGAAAGCTATATGAAAAAAATAACAAGGAAGACTTGATTTTCATTATTAAAAAGTAAGTGTGTTTACATACTTATCTATTTTATATTAATTTCGTAGCCATGTGCACACTAAAAGGCTTTGTTTTCTTCTAATCTTGTTTAAAATGAAGAGTTCTACTTTGTATTAACGCAAAACAGTTGATGCAATATATATACCCAAATTAATCTATCATTGATAATTCAATTATATGTCATGTAAGTTAAGAGTTACTGATAACTGTTATTGCTTCTTTCATTACTGTTATAAATTGATTGCGTGATACAAGATCGTCATGTGAAAACTGGACCTTACACTGTCCAAGCCGACTCTAGAAAACACAAAGTTAAGGATCGTTAATAGAATATTAGGCGACACACACACTGTTGTATTGCTACCGGTATATCTGGTGGAGAATCCGAGGTGACATCAAAGGTCTAGTGGTCAAGGTTTTTTATGTTATAATAACCACTATCAAAGGAAATAGCTCCACTCAAGTTTCACAATTCACAATTTTGACAATTTGCTGCAATTCAGGTTCCAGGTTTAACGTTCCTTTAAAAAAATTCACTCATATTAAGACGCCATTATACGGGAGGAGGGCTATATATTTATTCGGTACCAAGGGCCATTGAGCAATGAGCTTTTTTGTGCCAACACCTATTGCGTTACGAAACCAGGGTTTATGAGGTCTCTTTCGAAAGACCGGTTTCCATATCCCGCAATGGGATTCGACGTAAGGATAAACGTCCTACGTACTCCGCGACTCTAAAGCAAACGCGCTTATTACTGTGCCTTGCGGGCAGAATTCAAAAATTTTAAAGTACTGTGCAATTTATTTTCACTAAAGTTTGACTAAGATAGTTCAGTCTGGCTGGTCAGAGCGTGGGCTTATGATTGGTGTGACTGAGCTTTTTTGTGCCAACACCTATTGCGTTACGAAACCAGGGTTTATCGACTGTGCCTTCGACGTAAGGATAAACGTCTTATGATTGGTGTGACTGATCGACAGGGAAGCTTACTCCCCCTGGACACCTGACTCCATCCCTGGATTTTTTTTTTTGAAGGGGGGGGTCCGTATTTTTGCATTGTTCACAAATATGTATTATTTGTCGAGCTTTTTTTTTTTAGATTAACCACTGTTTATTATTCTATTTTTTTTATTAATTCTGTGCTTTGCAGACTCCATGATTACATAGTTATGTAAAAGTTTTTTTTAAAAATCGGAAATGATTTTTTTATTATCATTAAAAGGAGTACATATCGAGAAGTTATGTGTTTATGTTTTAAGATAAGTAAAAAGTAAAAAAAAAAATTACATAATACATATTATCTTATCACAGTGAGTTATGTCCAAGACACGATTTAGTTACGATATCGACACATTACTTTTTTTTTTTATATAGTTTTCTATAATATTTCTCTATTCACATGTATTTATTACAATACTTCCTGTTTTAAGACTATTTCCTTAGCGTCAATATCGTTGAGATCGTGCCGATATCGAATCATGGTTGTTCCAAGAATTGTGGTTTCCATCCTTAATATTGTGTTTTTAACAACTGTTACTTAAAACTTTCTTTATAAAACTTTCTCTGTAGTGTTGATATCGTCGATATCGACGATATCGCTTCGATGTCGAATCATGTTTGCTCAGCCCTTGGTATATACCTCCCCTGTTACTTTGAATGTGTTAATGTTTAATTACTTTACTTTTACAAAGATTTTACCTGCCCTCGATATCGTCGATATCGTATCGATATCGAATCATGATTGTTGAAAGCGTATTACTTTACCAACCTTCACCCTAATACAAAAACTTTATTTTTACATCACTTCTGTGTTTAATAAGTTTACCTTACTGTCGATATCGTCGATATCGTATTGATATCGAATCATGATTGTTAAAACATTTTCAAGAATTGTCACCCTAACCAAACATCTTACTCTAAATCTAATCTAAAACAATAACAACCCTAATACTTTCTTAATCATAATTTATTTTCATCTTCATGCGAATAATTAATCAATTTTGACTTCACTTGTGACTTTGTTAAATTATGTTATACCTCACTGTAAAAATAAATTGTGCAAATAGGATCGATATCGATACGATATCGTCATGATGTTGTCGATATCGACGACATCGACATAATATAGAGTCTCAAATATAGTACCAGGTATTTCCAATTAATGTGCTGATCACGATCGATATCGATACGATATCGACATAATATTGTCGATATCGACATCGAATTCGTTCTTGGACATGTATTATCAGAGTATGGGAGTTAGAGTGGTTGTGACCATTTTCAAGGTCGATCTATTCCCACCTTTGGAATTTCCTAGATCTATGTTTTATGTTACTCTCAAAAATTGCATTGTATGTTGTTGATATATAGACTGAATTTTTAATATTCATCTTTTTCATTAATTAAAATGCAGATTTTATAAAGGGTTGTGCGAAGGTCATGCTTTGTCTACTTTATACTTTTCCAATTACATGTAAATATTCACGCAATTAATTCAGTAAAAAGGATACAAAGAAAATAATTCACCTGTATTTTTGAGAAGTAATGAGAAATTTCTTAATATGAATAAGGTGTCTCAAACTGTGAAATAAATGAGCATTTCATATTCGTATTCCAGACTGTTGGAAGTTATTTAAACATGAATAGCAAGAGCTAGCTTATTAAGTGTCATTACATCGGATCTACAAATTATCATACCAAATCGGCTTTCTACTTGTGCATCGTGATTACATAATATTTCTCTCTTATCATGCACTTTATGAACACACATTTGTATAGAGACTCGAGATAAGAATTTTTTTAAAAACCCCTGCGTTTTTCATGATAGACGATTGTTCAAGGTATGTATTGTCAGCAAACTATTGGTATAAAAAAAATCTAATATTTTAAAAAAGTCATGAGAAAGTCGTTTAAAAAAGTTTTTTAAAAAGCAAGATTTGAAAGGACAAATAACCGAGAAAGGTTCAAATAGGCACACATTCTGAACTATAAGTCCTAATGTAATATTTAGTTTGTCATTGTTAGTCATACTTCTCATTTTTTTATCATAGTAAATGCATATGCTCTGAAAATCTACAAAGCTTCTAAGTGTACTGTCCTCAAAGGTAGGATAGCTGGTTAAGATATTAGCAAGCACTGAAGGTTTACAGATTAAAAAGCTGTGCACCTTTCCAGATTATCAAGGTCTGAAACTTTCCAAATTAGTAAGCTTTGTATATTTTCTGAGGGATAGTTGATAATCTCTAATGAACGGAGTCGAACATATAATTTTCAAAGAGTAGCAATGGTAGACACTTTTAATAAGTCATTGACAAAGAGAGCCGAGGCTTGTTGTAAAAAAGAGACAAGTAACTTTGTTATGACCTTTATATTTTAAAGTTTTACAGTCTGTATATTTGTAAAAAAAAAATGAGTCATATTAAGAACCAGGAAAGTATTTTATTCATATCTGCTTGAGAGCTCAATGATATATTTACGACAAGATGTTGCAGCAGTTTTGACCTAAAATGACCCACAATAGTGTTTGTCTTCTTTATACTCTGTAGGCTTCTTACAGTTAAACCAACAAAAGGTCGGCTAAGTAGTTTCACATATATTTCTACTCACTAATCTTTTTATAAATGTTACCAATAGCGACTTACTTTGAATTACCAACTTTCACAAAGGAAATGTGTTTAATGCACATTGTCGATTACGTAGAAATCCCTGATTTGTTTTTATCGACTTGTCCGAACAAGCCTTGAATAAAGGCTAAAAAGGCTCCAGGATTTTTAAACCCCCATCAGTACTTTTATTTTTAACAACAATGCATTTCTTTCTTTTTGACCTCCTTATATTAAGTGTATCTCATTCTGAACACAATATAATGGTGTTAATTGTTTTAATTAAATAGGCACTTATTTTTTTAAGGATGTAATGAGGGTTTTACAGATCCCACAAAGTAAATGTACCGCTGATGGTGAAAGATTCGATCGCGTTCTTTGCGAAGTACAACATTGTTTTCACCGGATGTTCGCTTTCTTGTGGATGTAGTGCTGTTTTCAAAAACAGGAAATGACGTCAGCGCAATAGTCGTATGTAAAGCGTGAAAATGCTACATCGAGGAAAAAGTGAACATTCATTTTTCCTGCAATAAATGATAAATGCCTTAGAAATTATCAACATAAGCACTTATTCCGCCGATGTTGGTAGTGTTATCCATGAGTTAAACATCAACGATATTTAGTATACATACTATATTATCATTTACCGTTACGGTAGGTTGGTAGGGCGCTTTTCGGAAGGTCGTGAGTTCGAATCTCGGCCGCGACTTACCAAACGGGAAGCAACCGGATCTTTGCCTTGCACTTGACACCTTAAAGTGAAAGTTGCAGGTCCTTCGGATGAAACCTGATTAAAACCGAGGCCCGTGTCACTGTAGACGTTTGCACGATAAAGATCCTTCACTGCTCAGTGGTGTAAGTGCCGTGTAATGGTCAAAATTTGAAGCCCATCACCGGTATATGGTGATGTCTGTATGTGAGTGAAATATTCTCGAATGGGACGTAAAATAGTTCGTTCTTGAAGTAAGTATGCTAAGTATGGTTATATTCTTTTCTTCGCAAGTTACGAAAATACTGTCTTTTCCCTTTGGAAATTTCTAGTGAAGATGAAATTTACAGGTTTAACTTTAGGTAGAAAAATTACCGAAAAACAATGAACTAAATATCTTAAGCAATACAGATGAGGGTACAATGAATTAAACGACATATTCCACTGTTGAACAAAATTCACACAATTGCATAAGAAGTTGTATAAAATCTAAAACAACTCGGATAAAAAAAGATGTTACCTTCGAAAATTGTTTGACGCGACACTAACTAAAGAACTCTAGTGCTTGAACTAAACTTGTTTAAGGATCTCTTCTTTATGCTTCGATGAACACCTATGAAAAACAGGGAAAAAACTTCCTTTTAATCAATACAAAATCAATAAATAATGAAGATGTGATCAGCACGGAGCACAACGGATTTATCAGACATCTTTAATATTTCGAGGAGAGAAGAAAGATTTTTAACATAACCCAAGCACCGTATTTCTTGATATCTGTTATAGTATTTAACATTTTGACAGCATCAAATAAAGCAGCAATGTGTACTATATCATATCAATTTTGAAAAAAATGAATATGTGCAATTTTTTAACAAATGTTTTCGGCTATTTTACAAAAAAAGTCACTTTAAGTGACCCCATAACGCTCTTCTCTGTAGGGTACTTGTTATAGAGTGTGTTCTCGAATCTCAATATTAATTAATTAACATTTTTGAAATAGCGCCCTTAGATTTGTCGTTTGATTTCTCAAGAAGTCACATAACTGTTTTGTTTAAAATACGTCGTGTATTTAAAGTTATGTCATGGAACGATCTTATTACACTGTGCACATTTTTGTTATTCGCACGACCCTGAACATTATATTATTCCACAATGTGCAGTCCATTAATTCGCAGTATGTTTTTTTTATAGGTTGTCGACAAGGTGCTTTTTACAGCTATCAGTCGGACTTTTTAACGTGCATCTGTCGATAAGTCAAATCATGTACTGATAAACAAAGATTGATTCAGTTAAAAAGTAAGTTCGATTTTTTCATTAACGATTAATTTCAACACTTTATTTCTTCGAATTTTTTAAAGTCAAATACTGCACCCTTTTTCACAGTAATTTAAATATCAACTAGCAGGTCTATGACGGTTTTTGACCATTTTTGCAAATTCTGTGTTCGTATATTGACATTGATTCATATAATTATGAATATATGCTAAGGGAAGGTAGTCTGTCTTACCTGACATACATTTGTGTGAAAAGGACAGGGTGTCGGATTTCTATGTGTTAAGAGCATAGAAAACAGTAAGATATGTATTCAATAAGGGAAAGAATTCATAGTAAAACATGTTGCAAAGGTGTTGGCTTTGTTTTCATGCTTATATATTTGATATGGATAAACATACCCTATCAACATACCTTGTATTTAACGGACAACAAATGTTTTCTATTAAGAGATTTTAATGATTTAAACAAAATGTTTTGATGTTTTTAGTTTTCTTTGGAATAAAATAGCGAAATAAAGAACAGTAATCAAGCATAAAAGTTCTTTAAAACAATTCAAATTAGGAGTAGAAAGAGCAAACAATGACTTCTTACAACATTAAAGATGAGATCAGATGCCATGGAGGAGTTAGTATGCCTTGTCGACCAATCAAATCCGATATGTGACCCTTATCACCATCGAGCACATGGAAAATCCATTGATAAATCAGTGTGTAAAAATTGTTCTGACAAATGTATGAAAGACGTCATAATACTGGTAAATTGCATTTGTTCACATGGTCATTGTATTGACAATAATGTTGGCGAAATGTAGACTGCAAATTAGTTTTGATATATTGTTTCAACTTGCTTGTCAATATCTTGCCTCGTTTTAGAAAATATTTCTACGAACTGTCAACATTATCGCTTGCGTATTTAATCTAGTGGGGGGAAATCAATACAATCGATAAGGGTTTGTTGCTACATACTATCAAATCAAGGAATTAAAAGATAGTAACGTCACCAGCAATGACGTGTCCAGTAGATCTATAATTGTAGAGTGAAAAAAAACATCACTTTGGAGCATTATATTCAATTTTTCAATATCTATGCACGGTAGGCTTTTTTGTAATTAAAAAAGAACGAGGAGCAGAAATTAAAGGAATAAATGTGGACTTGTGATTGAAATGTATTTGAGATATGATTCTGTTGTGATTAAAAAATAATAACTATACAGGTATATAATACGTCAGTTTCTTTCTTGCTATATATGAAAGTTAAAAGAACAAACGAATGCGTTGTTTAAGCAATATTTCTTCCGTAAAGCATCTTGATTTAAATAGCCTATGATTTTCAAGATACGATTCTTTATTTTTGGTGTCGTGGAATACAAATATGGACTTTCCCCGATTTTTTTTCAAATAATCCAATTAAAACATTCAAAGAAACAGAGTAAAGTTTGGTGCGAATTTGAAGACTATCTTACTTATTATCTACATAAGTACATGTAGTAGTTAAGCAAAGGATAAATTGTGAAAATATATTTATTGCAAGATCTCTTTTTAAGTATACGCTAACGCCTTTGTGTATTGGTAAAAAGCCCCATCAAATTTACATTTTGCTAAAATAAAAAGACGTACATTTTACTGGAAAAAGACGTTAATTATAATAATTTAAGAACCAAGCTTTATGATAAACGTGATGACTTTAAATTTTCAGTCGTCAATTTAATTATGGAGCAATATACCTTCATCACCTGCATACGGGTTTATATCTCTCAGTTGATTCGATATGCAAGAGCATGCTCCACGTATGTACAATTTCTAAAACGAGAAAAATTAATGACAAACAAGTTGATGAAACAAGAATATCCGAAGTCTCCTTTAAAGTCATCATTTCATAAGTTCTTTGGTCGAAACAATGACCTTGTCAGCAACTACGAAATATTTTTGAGTAAAATGCTTACATCACGTTTTTCATACTAATTGTCAGGTCATTATTTACATAATGAATTGACATTGGAATTTCCCGTCATTTCCCGATCATAACAAGGAGTACATGGTAAGTGCGACACCGGTCGGCGTGACTATAGGTACCTGATCCCGGTCCACCTCTGATGTCTTGAAGGTCCGTGTTTGCTCTGCTCCTTTTTAGCATTTTTTATGGACTTTTGAGTTTGAATACTGTTTGTTATCTCCATAAATTTTATTGTTACACAGTGGAACTGAAAGATACCCAACACAATCGACGTTGTCATTTCTACTATATGGAATGGCCATGCCTACTTTTTTATTCGGTATTCTTCTCCCTGTCTTCGGAAAAAATGTACGTTATGAAAGACGATTAGTATGAAGGTTGATAATTTCAAGAATTACTTACACTGATGAAGGATATGGAGATAACGAACAGTATTCAATATCAAAGTCCATAAAACAAAATAAAATAGGAGCAGAGCAAACACCGACCTCCAAAACATCAGAGGTGGGATCAGGTGCCATGAAGCATCCCCTGCCGACCGGTCACAGCCGCCGTGAGCTCTTTGTCACGTGCATGAAATAACGGAAAAATCCGTCATCAATTCAGTGTACAAATAATGGACTAACAATTAGTATGAAAAACGTCAGTCAGCATTGATAATATAAAATGATCAAGTAAATTAAAGTGATGGTATAAAAGCTGCTGACCCCATTCTTTAATTTGAAATCTATGCTCCGAGATTTTCTTATTAAGTGATAAGTTGGTTTCGTCAACATAAATCAGCCCACAAAGAGTACATTCTATTCCATAGACAACATTATGGAAGATCCGCAGTTCAGATTTTCCCAAGTTTTGGTGTAGACGCTTTGTCAAGTTATTGTAATTGGATCAACACGTGTTTTTACAGTTTTTAAAGAGCGTTTTGAAATAGAAAACGTGGGATTGGGAAAAAAAATATCGAATCTATTTCTAAGGAAAACTTTGCATTCCTTCAACCTTTGTATGAACTGTTGGTTGTAATCAAGTAGAACAATCTTTGTCTATACATGTGAAAATTTAAAAAACCATCACTGTATTATATGGAAAAATTACTTTTGATTATATTTATGATAATATGATTATAATAATAAGTTTATAATTCATATAACCTGAAGTTATACATGTTATATAACTTGAATTTATTAATACATAGAGATTAATGTAGATAAAAAAAATTGAAGACAATGTTTATGAAAAACAAACTATATGCTTCTTAGCATCATGTAGATGTGAAGACATACCTGATAGATAATTACACTGTTAGAAATTCTTTAAGATATTTATCTAAAATTTTTAATAATTCAATCAGCATAACCTTGTCCAAAGTAAAAATTCAGATAATGCCTCTTTTAGATTCTAGCTAGTTTTTGTCATATCTTGAATCATTCAATGATCAAAATAATATTATATTTACTAGCTTTTTATATCCTTGTCCCTCATATGCGGTTTTAACGAGGCCGAGTCTAATTCGAGTGCGCATGACTTTTGCGCAGCTTTTTAATTTCATGCAGTCATATAAGACAATACACCTTCCACAAATATTGTGATTTCAATTTTAGATTAACAGTATCTGACACGCCTACTGGTCTGAAAATGTGATTTTACGACAATAACTTGCAAAAACCGCTGAGATGGCTCTAACGACGTCACTGTTTTCCGATTTTGTAGGCAATGCACGACGCTGAAGAATGACACATGACTCGCTTATATATTCGCAGACGTCCATGGATATTATACTAAAAACTGTTAACAGAACATCAAAGGAAGCATACTAGCAATCTAAATATTGCTATTTTTACCCAAAAAATTATCTGCTCCGATAATTCATCTTCGCCGATAATGTATTTAGTATTTTTATCGTAATATAGCAATTTTAGGGGTATTAGAAATCGAAAAAATAAACTTTGTAATTAAGACCTAGACCAATTAAACTAGATGGTCAACTTTTTTGAAAAATCACAATTTGGTGACTTTTTACAATAACTTTCATCTACATGACTGAAGAAGAAATCTCTAGGGCAGAAATGCAAAAAATATGAAAAAAAATTGATAATTTGGCGTTTTTCCAACAAATTCCCATATGGTCCAGTAGTAAAATTTGACCACTTTTGAGATGGTCTCCTAAGGAATCGGGGTGGTAAACATTTGATTTTTTAATCTTAAAACAATAAATTTATCAGTAAAAATTAATTAACGAAACATTATCAAAATCCGTAGGGAAGAAATAATTAGACTCGGCCTCGTTAAGTATTATAAACTTTTGTCTTTGTATGTATATAGCACAGAGCTCAATGTTCGATTCATCTAATCCCTTGAAAATCTTCCTTGTCATAATAATTTTTGAGGTACTCCATATTTAATAACAGCGGAAATACAAAAGTTTCAAATCTCTCCCGACTTGCTGATTTTTTTTAATTCTGCAATAGGTTATTTTTATTCAATGTTGTCCTACTTTCCACAAGAATGTAGCATGCAGTTGTATGTTTACATTCTGACGTCACTGAGAAGCTTGACAAGGCAGCCTCAATAATTATTGCAAGGTATTCCAAACTGCACATATAACACGCTTCAGTGTTTAGAGGAGGTTTATTTCTATGAGATGTAAGTGTATTTTTTCAGATCTTAGAGCTTTGTATTCCATTAGAGACGTGTAAATGTTTACTTGTTGCCAAATAATAATTAACGGTTTTCCTGATTTTGTACGATGTCTGATAAAAGTTTTCAATTCAAGACAAACACTTCCTGTGTTGTTTCGTTTCGCGCTAGCCTTCTTTTCTTTTTAAATAACACTTCATATAAAAACCAATATAAAATAAATCTGGTATGTCAGGTTTGTAGATGATGGATCAGCTATGCTAGTATTACAGTCTTTAATTTTGTTACCTAAAGTACAGTGTGACACACCTTCCATGCAATTTCTTCTTGATATGTGACATGTGCAAATCCGTCTTCCTACAGTGTGCATTCCAATTACATACATTTACCTTGCATTAATTACAATCTCTCTCTCCAAAGACTGAGCATATTTAAAATGTAGAAACCAACACTATTAGAAAGTATCGTGTAAAGTTCAATAACACTTTTTTATCTTGAAAACAATAAAGAAATCCCTTTTCTTGCTGAATTCAATGTGATTTTGAATATGAAGCATGCGTCCGCATTCAGGAATTTTTTTCTTGAATATATCACAGAAATGTATATACAAAATGACAGTTAACATATATAGGTTGAGAAGGTGTACTGTTGTGGGAGAGTTTATAAATGAATACTTTTAATTAGTATTCAGTTACATCGTGGATTCTATCTCAACTAGTACCTTAGATATCTCTTATTTAAGGAAACAATTAAATGGAAGAAAGAATGGTTTGACTATGACTATAATGTTAACTATTTGTTTCATTTGTAGTGAACAGGTTTTTCTTAATTTATATTTAATAAGCTGAAGGAGGAATGCCGCACCAGAATTTTATTTATTAGATCTTGAAGATATCCTTTTCAAACTATGGTTTCAGCATTGAAAAGCTCTTAATTATTATTTATGGTTTCTTTTACACAAAAACGTGTTTTATTTTCATAAATAATTTTTTGATGAAAAAAATAAATGTTAATACGACTTTTCTTTACATAGTCCAGTAGCTATTTATATTATGCATTTATCAACAACAAATTTTAAAAGTGCATATCAGTCTTTTAATGATGAAACCATAATATAATAGGGCTGTCTTTCAAAAGAGATCTATGAAATAAAAGTCTCATTCGAACGAAAAGAAGGAATATCATATGGGTTTTTCTATAATAGTTTAGTAAAACCAGGGATTTATACAAAGGTTAAGTATTGAGTCACATGTCTTTCTTGTTACAGACGGTAAATGATCAGTCTATCTGCATTTGGTTTAAACAGATCAATTTTCATCTCGAACTGCATTTGTTTTGTAATATATCTTTTAAAATAAACTTGTTGAACATATCATCTGTTGATTAGTACGCAAATGAATTGCTACACTCTGCTCATGTTTACTAGACGTAAAACGCTTTGGGCGCATTACTGCGAAACATCGATACAAATATGCAAACATATATATAAAGATTATGCATTAGCCAGTTGGCAGCTGTTCTGTGCAACTTGTAAATGTATGATAATATGTGTATTTTCATGATGACTATTTAGTCCGAGAATAAAAAAAATCCTTGCAATATTGAACAAAAATTTCTTAGCATTTTTCTTATTTTCATGATGACTATTTAGTCCGAGAATAAAAAAAATCCTTGCAATATTGAACAAAAATTTCTTAGCATTTTTCTTACTTGTTAGTGGTTATATAATTTGATATATCATATTTCTTTTTCGCTGAGAGGGCATATTTGCCATTTTATAATACGTTTTAATTTTATTTGCTAAAGCTTTAACATATGTACCCTTTTGAAAAAAAAGTGTAAATAGTACGTGGTTTTTTTTTCCAGAATGCAGTATGAAATTTCTTTGGAAACTCTTCCTGAGCACACTAGTGATTATTTACCTACTGGTTCTGTTATCTCTCTATACACAGTTTCATGGACCACTGACTCGGCTTGGATACGACAAAACCCAGCACCAAACTGAACATCATGGACACAAAAGGACACACTACCCAACTCAACTAGGCAAAAAGGTTACCAAATTCGATAAATTAGTGACTTTTCCGAAATTAGATCTACAAAATATCCATATTTCTCAAGATAATACCTTAAAAGAATGGTCAAAAACCAACACTTCTTTCTGTGAAAACAGATTTGTGGGATTTGCCCATTTATTTGCCATTCTAAGGGACGTTTTCCTGGATCCTTCGTTTAGTGCTGGGCCACCTGGCGGAGAAGAAATAAAAAGAGTCCTTAATCAGCCGGAAGAAAAGGAATTCTTAATTTTAAAGCCCGGTTATTTTCAAATCCGATGTAAAAATAAAAAGAAATTGGATTATACATTTCCAAGTGGCGATCATCTATCAAAATGGATTTCAGGTTTAAGACCTTCATTAACATACACATCACAGGAAGAAGACATTCAGGATGTTACAATAGCAGTGACGCGATATGAATATGCCAATGTATATCATACCATGACCGACTGGTACAATGCATTTTTGATGCTTTTATTTTTTAATGTAAAAAGTTTAACTGCTAAAATTCTGTTTGTAGACAGTCATCCACAGGGAGGTTTAGATTCTGTCTGGACTACTTTGTTTGGAGAATATATACGCGCTGGACAATTGATAAAGCCTAAACATTTTGATTCTTTAATATGGAGTATACAGGGATACAGAAGTCCGATGTATGACCATTTTCTGCCTACTCTGCCGCATATTGATTCATTTACAAATTTCTTTTTGAGTAAACATAACATTCCACTTGCAAAAAATCTAAATTGTGATAAATTATCCATTCTCTTTATTTGGAGAAGGGATTATGTTGCACATCCTCGAAATCCGAAAGGACTTGTTAGTCGAAAAATAAAGAATGAGCAAGAACTACAAAACTTTGTTCAAAACCTTTACCCAAATCACTCCATTTCCAGCATACAAACTGATAAATTGACAATGCAGGATCAACTCTCTGCGATAACAAACACTGATATTCTCATAGGAATGCACGGAGCAGGCCTAACATTAGCCTTGTTCCTTCCAAAACATGGGGGTCTTATTGAACTTTATCCGAAATACTGGTCTTCCGATAATCATCATTTTAGGGCTATAGCTCGATGGCGAAAGCTTCAATATAGAGACTGGCAAAATCTGGATGGTGACAATGAATTTCCCGATCATTATACATTTATACCACCCTCTGTTTTACAAACTCAGCTGTCAGCAATTATAAGTGATATGTGTAAATCCAAAATCTAAAGTATTTACGTAAACATTATATATATAAAAATTACATTCCATCCATTAAAGAACTGTATACGAAGATGTTTTTCTTTGATATTATGGTTTCTAGTTTTTATTTATTTTTTTCCCAAATAATTATAAGACGTTTAATTAAGAACGCTGTCCTGTCGAGCGCTTGCTTTGCCTGGCTTATACTATATGGAATTGTAAAGTTGGAAACATGGACCTATAGAAACATAAGAGGTTGGATCAGTTGCCACTGAGGAGTAATCATCCCATGTCGACCGGTTACACCAACTGTGTGTCCCTCTCCTCATCAGAAACCAAAAAAAATCCATAGACAATTTGTATGTAAATAAAGTGGATCTTCAATTAGTATGGAAGGTGTCAGTCCAGAAAGAGAGACAGAGAGAAGGAAAGAGACAGAGAGAGGAAGAGGGAGGCAGACAGACAGATAGACAGACAGAAAGAGAGACGGAGTGAGAGAGTGAGAGATCAAATATGAATCAATAAATGAATCCGAAATAAGAATAACAATTTTATTTCAAAAGACTTTTCCAATAAAAAAATATCTCGAACATAAATATTGTGTTTTATAACACACAGTCTGACAAATCTGTTTCATACTTGGATATTTTACTTGAAAAAGACGTTAATGGTTATCTAACAACCATGCTCTATGAAAAACGTGATGATTTTAACTTTTCTATCGTCAACTTTCCTAACTTATGCAGCAATATACCTTCATCACCTGCATACGGAGTTCATATCTCTCAGTTGATTCAGTACGCAAGAGCATGTTCTATGTATGAAAAGTTTCTAAAACGGGTTAAATGTTTTGACAAACAAGTTGAAGAAACAAGAAAATCAGCAGTCTCGTTTGAAGTCATCATTTCGTAAGTTCCATGGTCGATACAACGACCTTGTCAGCAAATACAATTTATCATTGTGTCAAATGCTGACTGACATTTTTCATACTATTTGTAAGTCCATTTTTGTACACTGAATTGACGACGGATTTTTCGTTATTTCCCGATAATGACAAGGAGCACACGGCGGGTGTGACCGGTCAGCAGGGGATGCTCGGCTCCTCTATGGCAATTGATCCCACCTCTGATGTTTTGAAGACCCGTTTGCTCTGCTCCTATTTTGTATTGTCTTATGGACTTAGATATTGAATACTGTACGTTATCTCCATATCCTTCATCAACAGAACGAAAAACGCCTTGGTGTGAATTGAATGTTGTCTCAACCAGAAGACTTAAAACTTTGTAGTTCATTGCGCACGGTTCATTGTGTGTGTTAGACCTAAAGCAATGACTTATTGATTGAATGCTTTGAACTAAGACTAAGGCATTAATTATTTAAATTACATTACCAGCCTTGCAAAAAAAAAATATCCTATCTAGTTTCATATCTAAACAATCACATGACACCCTCGAAATTTAAATTGTAAAACAGAGATACCTTATACAAGCCCATTCTCCTGTTAAAAATTCTTTAAATAACAATTGTGTCTTGTTTATGGTGTTATGGGAAAAATTTTAACGTTTATTTGGGCTTGAAACTATGCAAAGCAAAAAAAAATCATAAAAGAACTTGTGATTTCCTAATTCATTTCAGTAATACTCCCTGGATTTTCATCCATTCTTCTTCAAATTTACATAAATTTAAGAATTCGGATTCTCTTTCTCTAGCATAAATGGAGATATTTAATTGTTAGTGTGCTTGATTTTTTTTTTAATTGTTTTTCGAACTTTATAATAATTTTATAAATAAATGTCGAATTATTTTTATTTAATCATGATGAAAAATCGATAAAACACGTTTGATAATAAAGAAACAGGGAAGAATTTCCGAACTTGGTTTAACATTTAGTATGAGTTCTGATAAACTATAAACTCATAAAGACTACATGTGCAATAAGAATGAAAGAACTTTATTATTCAAACCTTTCCCCTTTGTGTTAGCTACGTCCCAGGCTTTATAGAATGAAATTTGAATCTTTCTTTTTTGGCCTTGAAAAGATATCTTGTACAGTCAACCCTTGTGCAAATAAATTACACATTCAAAACCACTGAACCGTTCGTTCTGAAAAACTACTATAGTAGAGGTATACCACAATCATATGCATGCAAATCTTTTCAAATTCTTTTAAGGGGGTTTGCTTCTGCAATCAAATGTATGGAGAATTTTTTGTCAACTATATCTTTAGAATCCACACATATAGCTTACATGTAATTAAAAAAATCAAAACAAAAACAGGGTCTGTGCACGTCTTTTAGCACTACAGAGCAATTCAGACGACCTTTTTGCACTGTAATTATATCTATTCAATTCAATTTTTCAAAGTTTTTCTACTTTGATATTTTTCATCCAAATGAATTATTGAATCAAACACAGTCTTTTCGCCTTTTAAATAGTGACATCAACATCACTTTCTGCACTCAAAAATGTATTTTTTCTGGAGTTAGAAAATTAGAAAGCAATAAACTCATTTGAAAAATTATCGTATACATTCATAAAATGAAATGAAAAGTGTGGGTCTGTGATGGTATTTTTTTTTTAGACATCACTGAAATAGTGCTAATTATAAGCTGAAATTGGGCTATTTTTTTTAAAGTACTTTCATGACTTATTTGATATATTTGCCAAATATGATTATAGAATGAATGACAGTAAATTTCATATATAATTTAGGACAAGCATAGAACTTTTAATTCTATAAAATTGCTCTGTGTTTAGCCTGTATGTTAGTAAGTAGAAGTCTTTAAGTTTTTAATTTCCATTATTTACATCACAAATTTAAGGAGAAATTTAAAGAAAGAACAATAAAATCCTGCAGCGGTTACAGATTATACAACTAAGTTATAGATGTTGCAAATTTTCTTATTTATTGGCTTCACCAAATGTCGGCAAAACATAGTAAAGAAGCATTGTTTTCTGAAGAAATTCGTGAGGAGTGTATTCTTTGATTTCATAAAAAATAATCCTGCTTTACTGAATGTAATGGAATCAGTTTAAGATAAAAAGCGAGATAACTCTCACTTTATTACTGAAATTTTTAAGATTCATCTAGGTATGCAAGCTTCTTGATAATGATTTCTTTGACAGAAATTTCACTGATTTCTCAAAAAATAGTAATCCGGGATGTCTTCTTTGCATGGATTACTAAGTCCGAATGATTTTGTATGCTCACTTTGCAATTTTGGCACATAATTGTAGATAATGATATAGAATAATATTCTGTACGTTATGTACATTTTACAAGCCGTGTTTTAATAATATAAATATTATATAAATATTAATATCATATTTAAAAGACATTTAACATGACCATATTCAATTCAAACCCGTCATATGTTTAAAGATATTTATTAATATTTAACGTTTTAAATTTTGAAGAATTTCAGTAAATCTGCATACATGTACGAGGGTTGTCCCGTAAAATCGTGGACAAAGCGTTTTTCTCGAAAAGTAATGGGCGCACTAAGCTGAAAATTTCAATAAATGTTTATTTATGATGATATCATATTTAAGTGCATGATAATTTTTTTGATAAAATATAGGCAAAAATAAAGATTTTATTATGCCTGAATGTGCACGAGGTATTGTCCTACGGCGCACGGTCAAAAAACCAAGGTTTTATTAAAGAATACACAAGTTTGAATTCAAATAAAAGTTTTAGATACATAAGATTTGGATTAAAATTATCCTAATTCAATTCCACAATCAATTTTGTAGTCTTTGTAAAAATTTTAAGGCATTTGCTTAATTTTTGGCAGTTTCTCGAGCATTCGAAATGGGAAAGTGGTAAACACAACACACGAAAAATGGCGACGTTTTATGACGTTACGGCGCACCGGAGAACAGTTCAGTTTTATTTCGATGTTGTTATGACACCTTTAGAGATTTAAATGACCATAGAAGAAAAAAGATTATGAAAATATCACCATATCTTAAGTATACAAATGAAATAGGAGTTTTCTTAGCGAAGTTTTTTTGATCTAATCCCTGGGGAGTACAAAACATACGGACAAACTCCTAATGTAATAGCAAAATACGCTGTCACAGTAGACGCCGATATGAGATTTATATAATAGTGTTGCATTATGCATGTACTATGCCTAAATAGTAGGCAGGGTTTGACACATGGTGCACGAGCCGGAGGCGAGTGCACTATGTGTCAAACCCTGCCTACTATTTAGGCATAGTACATGCATAATGCAACACTATTGTTATTATTATGCTGACTGTTGTAATTATTTATGCGGCAATCTATTTGACTTTTTCCTGAAAATATCGGTGCTTAAACAGCGCACTTGCAAGAACTCATTCAAAATATTCATGCTAAAATTGTTTGTATGCTTAGTTATTTTGGTTACTAGTATTTTCTCTAAATAAGTCGGGATTTTCTGTCCCAAAGCAACACATCTTTATTTTCTGTTATGTTAGTAAGCCTTATTTGTTTGCAGACGTCGATTCTCATTGATAATTTTCTTTTACATCCTTCAATCAAGCGTCATATAAAAAAGCGTTTTAATGACCCTATAAAATCAGTTCATCTAACGATCTGTATGTAATTAGTTTGAAAGTTTGTTGTACACATTAATCTAAAGTTCCTTAGAATAATATAACTGTTTTCAAATAATATTTGTCTATTTTCTCCTTCTTGTGTTAATTGTATAAATTAAGTTTATATATTTAATAAAATTGCGCGAATCCGTGATCGTCTCTATGGCGTAATCGATAAGGCATCGGACTGACAATCTCATGGTCGTGAGTTCGATCCCCGGCATGTGCATGGAAGAAATTTATTCAGTACATAAATCCGTGCACTATTTCGGCATAGTATGTTTACGCTATATAAATCCTTAGACCACTATGCGAGAATAGTAGGGTATGGGTTACATAGAGACAAACTGACAGGAAGCATAATAATTTCTATTAGATGAATGATGGTGAGAATATTGTCCGTAACTTACTAATAAATCTTCAGAAGATCGCATGAGGGTGCCAATTGGTTCTTCGGCTGTTTATGGAGACTAAAGAATGTGTATCAATGAAATTCCTAAATTT